GAGCATGGGAAGCTGGAGCACCTTGCAGGAAAGAATGTCTTCATGAGATCATTGCACCAGTAGCGAAATTCAACAAATACCTTGTATATAGGGCTTTTTCCCGTGACGTCACAGCTCGGGAGACACCGCCTCCGCGCCATGCTGGAGTACAGGCAGACTACGTTTGGCAGGAACAACGGTGATATTTTGCTCAACTATGATGAATTTCTCGGGTCTATCCAGGTCTGAGCAAGTACCCACACTTGCAAAGGTGGTTCCCTGAGTCTTTGAGAGTGACGGACCTGCAAAAATGATTATATATGCTGTTTCCCCAATCGGTTGTGTGGTGTCCGTACAGGCCTAGATCTAAATCCATGATCAGGAAGGTAGCCCAAAACAGGTGTCCTCGTCAGAGGATTCTAGATCGGGTCGTCTCTTTAGGCCTCAAGTGAGAAGGTAAGACCTGAATTTGATGGCATGTGATGCTCTAATCGTAGGTACGGGAGAGAGAAGTGAATATTGTAGTTGGAATTTCCTATCACATCGTGGGCTCAGTTCTGTGGAGTATCTTCCTTCATATGCCTTCTTTTCGAAACAACCCTTTAACGCCATGATTCTCCGTTGAAAAGATACGACATGGTGACGTTGCACAGTCAAGGGCATTGCTTTAAGAATTTCGCCATGATTAACAGGCGCTATTGCGAAAAATGGAATGCATCGCATTTTTACGCCAGAACTTGGGATGATCCACCAGACCATCACAGGACTTCAGCGCGAAGGATGAAGGTATGCGAAGACACTCTTCGCATACCTTCATCTTCTCCGGATAGGGGTCTTTTGCCGTGCCTTGCAGCGTCTCAAAATGAGCGGAAAAACCTGTATTCATGATGCAGACTTGATGAGGCTACACCCATGACATAAACCTATCAATCGAAATCCCCGCTCCCCTGTACTCCAGCATGGCGGATGTTCGCTCCGCCCCTCTGTTAAACGTCATCTTGTGACGTCGGTGAAAAAGCCCTATTCTCTCAGCTTGTTCAGTGCGATGCAAGTGTGAGTGAACGTTCTCGTTCTTCAACAGCTCAAGTGGTCTTCGTCTGATTAATCCTCCTTCAAATCCATGATAATGATACGAAATGATCAGTTCAATGAATATCTAATGGAGCTCTAAGAGAAGACCAAGTCTCCCAACAACGCAGTGTTCCCGACAGATTGGTACGAGAGGCTGGTCGCGGAGGTCAATGCTACAAAGAAGGGCTCCAACTCCAGCCGGCTGGAGCACGGGAAAACCATCCTCAAGTAGTAAGACGTCCTAGTCTTCGAGGGATGAAGAGAAGATAGTGAGAAAGGCGAACAATCAGTGGCGCACCACGTATTTTGGCTGAAGGGTCGGGGGTGTGGGGGAGCGCCAAACCCCACCCCAGCGATATCAAGGGGAAAAAAGTATTACCTCTAAGGGGACGCCTGACTCAGTCTCAGGGGCACAGCTGCCTCCCTTAAAATACGCCACTGCGAACGATGCATCTAATAAAAAAAACAAAAGGTACAAGCGCGTAGCCAATAATACCCAGTGCGACTCTCGATGCCGCGGGCCATGGACATGTTCTAACAAATGAATAAAAACGGTGTGCTTAATAGAAAGGCTTGAATGCACACTTTGGCATAGTTGTTGCAGATTCTTTAATCATGGACAATTTGACATCAAGAAGCAATCACTTCATTTATTCATTTGGGTAAGCAACTAATTCATATCATGGTGTTTGACCTGCTGGCTCGAAAATAGAGCAAGTGCCGGTGGCCGAAGTGGGCATACGATCATTATTCTGGCCGAGATGAAGTGCTTCTATGAACTTGCACGAAAATAAAATGAGAATCCAACGACAAAAAAAGGGTATATGACGGAGAAAATGATGAAAGAGTTTTCTTAAGGACAGACAAGATTTTTTTAAATCGAGTTTTGCAAGCAATTTCCAGGTTCCACAGCGATACCTAGCACTGCATCAACCGGCTTACGGATGATTCAGGAAAAGGGAGAAAAAGAGGAGATAATCGTTAAACTTGCTTCCAATCTATAGTCTGACTGGGCCGTTGCGTGCAGGAAGGTAGCGGTTTAAAGTTGAGGAGCGACTTTTTTTAAGTAGTTTTTTTTTAGGCGCGTCAGATGATTGAAGGATTCGGATGCCCGACCTTCGAGAGTCCGAGTTTACTGTCTATTCATCCTAGAACTTCGAGACTGTAATTTTATAAAATGTTACATTGAGTGCATGAACGATATTTCATCGATACTGCTCAACGCCTCTGTGATACTTTGGTGGTGCTGTTTCACGAAGCGCCCTCTTAGATATTCAGACCATCTGAATTCACGTTTAACGCTTTTCTTCCTAGACACGACACCCTTACTGCGCTTTATGGATCATTTTTCATTTCTGGCTCTTACCCTCCTCTCCCCCAGGAGGACTATGCATCTGCGTTCATGCTGCTCTCCCTGTGGAAATGAAGGATGCAGCCATCCGACCACATCGGGTCCTGCCCGAACACGATCAATATGCGAACACCGCCATCATCACAGATACCGCTGCTGGTACTAAACACATCGACATGTAGACCAAACTCTCAAGGATGCTACTGGGGGGTCGGTTCTGTGGAGCTACTGCTCCGCAACTGTCGATTCAGAGTTTGCATGGAAGACTGCATCAGCTCCTGGAAGCTGCAAGGCAATCGTTTACCCCAAGGCTCAGTACTCGCCCGTACTCTTTTCAACATCTTTATCCATGACTAATCCCTCACGAAATCACGCAATTAACCCCGTGAAATTGTCACCGCAAAGATGGTAGCTCTTGTACTGGTTTGGCACACCGATATTTTTTGGATCCACCAACCCATCGCCTCCCATCCCGACACCCACTTTGAGCTATCTTTGCCATTAGGCCAAGCTGTACCAGAAGAGCAGTGCCGACGCAGGAGTGATCCAAGTCAAAGGTGACTAATCACCAGCTAGTCGAAAATTATTCCCCAAAACCACCAGGCTTCAACCATCCACGGATTTGTGGGCCCTTCTGAATCGTTTTCGGAGTAATTATGTGCGTTGCGAGGCTAATGGCCACCGACGGTGCCTGCATGATGGTCCATTGTGCGAATGCGGTGAGCCCTAAGCAATGTTGCCCATAATTGATGGCTGTCCACTGACTTGGCATCATGGTGGCCCCCACACTCTGCACACTGCTGGGATTGCTGCCATCGTATGGCTTAAAAGGCATGCCCAGACCCCAGCCTCTAACCTCCCATCGTGAATTCATAGTTAGACTGTTATTGTAGGTATTAGATGAATAAAAATCCGCCCCGCCGCCTTGTTTCCCTCGTCCAGCAGAACAGAGACACCTAAGCCCTGATTTGAGGTTTTTCCTCTACATTCATTAGCAGTGACGCCATAATAGTATCTTTCTTCTGATGAGGACAAATAAAAAGAGGAAGAAACGAATAACGTAGATAGTAGAGTAAAAAGAAATTGCAAACCAATCCCTTTCCCAAGACCCTTGACTCATTTTTGACGAAGATAAAATTGGCCTGGGGATCGTGCTAGACGAGAGGAACCACGTCCGCTCGAAATGGAACTCATTCATATATTTATGGAGTAGGAAAGTAATATAAAGGTTCCATGCTCACTTGCGAGCTGATGACCGCAGAAACTATTCATCTTCTCATGAGCTTTCTCTTTTATGGGTTGACCATTCTCTTTAAGTTCTTCACTTATCATTTTGTCATTACCAGGAATGGCATTTAAATGAATTACTTTCTTGATATACTGTAACGTATGCCAGCCTATGATCACGCAACGTCCAGTGTCATCCAGTAGAGAGTCAAGTCGGGGAGGAAGTTGAAGGGGGTGAACTAAAACATCCATCAACACGTGGAGGGAGGTGAACCCAGTGTTTGGGGTCAACCAACACGTGGAAGGGCTCCTTGCAGTTTATATGCAGGATCTTTCCTTCTCGAATGTGCTATCCAAACACTGTACAAGGAGCCACAACATCATTATCCGAATGGGTATCAAAGTCCCTCCAATCACGTCTAATCGCCAAAAGCTATCCTCAAATCCAGCAAGACTTCAGCTGAAGATCCCTCCCTCGATCCCTCACTCCGAGGTGAATGAAGAGCTCGAACTCGAAGAACTCGAGTTAGTACCGATTTGACCGGGGTACTCGGGCCCTTTTTAGATCGTGGGTGTTTTGAAACTCTCAAAAAAACATACAGAGGAACAACGACATAGTTAAAGGATTGTTTCACTTCGAAGGTCGTGAGTTTTTATCCCCAGAACTTGAAAGGTTTTATCTGGAAGTGAAGATAAGCCCTTTGTTATTGAAATTGCTGTAAAGGGGTTGGACCGGTTGTTTGGTTAACATTTCCTTTGTCTTTTTTTATTATTAATTTTTCATTTTGGAAATACATTCTTTTTTTTGTTTTCTTGAATTACGCCTTAGTTACTCCCACTCGAATTTGAATTGGCACGGACCTGGTTTCCTGGAAGGAATTCATTGTAGTGGAATCGGGGCGCGTTAAGGTAAAGTTTTTTATTTGAACTTAATTAATAGTTGGTATTTTCATAAATCCAACCCACTGCGCCCCGTGCCCGTTATAATACCAATATGAAGTTTTCCGGCCGAAAGAAAAAAGCCCCAGTGATGAACAGCGTTTTCACATTTGGATGGGTGTCAGGGGGCTTATGAACAATCCCGCAGGGCGATGGGGCTCCTATCCTGCCCTCCAGCCAATGAGAGACCTCCCCAAAAAGAGCTGCCATTCCAGGCAATAACAGGCACACCTGACCTTTCATTGAACTATTTCAATACCTTAGCAGTTCGACCTTGCATCAAGATTAGTGATGGCATAGGGAGGGAGGCAACAGTAATATTAATTTTAAAATATCAGGAGGAAATTTTCAAGCAAACTTTATACCATTCAGTAACGCAAATATGAACATGAAAAAGCCAGACATCAAAATGAGCTTCGAACTAAAACACCTTTAAATGCTATTCTCGAAAAAGTACATGTATCTTGTGCACTCAAAGTCTATAGAAAAATAGATTAGAAGGAAAACGAGAATTTTATGTATCTTTTCCCTGTTAGGTTCCTGTAAGAGATCCTAAGGCCATTCCATCTTGCTCAAGACCTTTTTTTTTCTGTCGTAATATGTAATAATCCTTTCATCAGAGAACAAGAATCTTTGCAAAGAAGCGTCCGCTTGCGGGAATGAATTAGGCCAAGAAGACTTCATACATGACAATTTGTCCAGCCGGTGGACACGTTGGTTCTGCCAGAGTCGCTATAACGCCGTACACGATTGGTTGGAGGGCGTTGGAGGGGCCTCATCGCGCTGCGAGTAAGCTGCCGGGGGCAATGGCGCAAATGTAATATTTTGCTAAGTGCCAAGGGAGAAGGAAATGAAAATCGATACAAGCCCCTACATGACAATCGAAGACTAATGTATACATGCTGTGTTTTGATGTCAGTGACTGGCGACGGTGGCCTCGGGGACGAATGCAATAACAATGCCGACTGCAATGGAAATGCCAATCTCCATTGCGAAGGTGGAATATGCAAGTGTGCAGACGACTTCGAGCTCAACATGGAAACGCTTACTTGTGGTCAGCAAGTTTTCTCTTCGATTATCTCAAGAATACAAACCTTTCCGTTTCAAGGAAGCTATGCAAAAAGCCTATTGCCTTGCAGAAAAGATGAAGTCAAATCTTCACTGTTACAATTGAATGTTCAGGCTCGAGCAGTAAATGTAGAATATTCTCATCGCGTCCACTTCACCTCATGACGTCAGATGCATATACTCAAATGAGGAGAACCTGCATTCCTATCATCGCAGCAACCAATGTCGAGTGCATTGATCGCGGAAGATTTATATATCAGGAGATTCAGGAAGTTTTAATATGTATATAGAGTATATGTTTTATGTTTAGATAAGAAGCCAGGTGGGTTGGGAGACGAATGCCTGACAGATGCAGACTGCGACGTCGAAGCTAATCTGGAATGCAATACCAGCCTGGACAAGTGCGACTGCATGCCTGGATTCGAGATCGACCCTGACACTCTCCAATGCGTCTAAAAGTAGAAGCACGTTTCAATTATGCATCCATTATGCAGATCTTTGGAATTAAATAATTTCGCCTGGTTTGCTTATTTTCTTGCGATAAGTATGGCACCAAAAATTAAATTTGGATCTGAAGTTGCGTTTTTGAAGCACAAGGAGCAGATTTGGAGACATAACGGGAGTTCTACGCTCGTAGGGTTCGGGAAAGCAATCTCCAGGTCCAATCCCTGGTTCATCGGGGTCTACATTTTCAGACCCCTCCTATGCAATGGGTAATCTGGACTTAAATTCCCCATTAAATAACTCATGACGGTCCCACTGAAAATGAAGCATAAGCCTATTATAAATGTACGTTTCAGGAATAAGTATAATAGATGATGAAGAGAGAAAAGTAGTAGAGATGGGAGAACGTGCCTCTCCCGGAGATGACTACTTCCTCCAACCAGAGTTGGCTCCGTGAGTTGTGGAACAAGAGGGGACTGTGCAAGAACCAAAACGATACTAAAGTTCCAGGATAGTATTCCTGTTTGGAGCTCACTTTCTCCTAAAGCTCTGAAGCGTCATTGCGAAACAGTCACACTCTTCGTCTCCGCGGACATCAGCACAATTTTATTCATTTGCTGCATTGTATTGCATTTATTGTTCCTTAAACCTACTTGTCCAAACATACACTCGACAATTTTTCCATATCCTATTGCAGCTCCCAGTCACAGGTTATGCAGCTCCCTTTGCTGGGAGTCAACATATAACAAAGGAAAAATTGCCATCTTTTCGTGACCCACCCTGTACCTTCATCTAAAGTTAGAATTCCGTTACTGGTCATTTTTATACAGGGGGAAAAGATGAGAATAACTTAGGCTACCTTTAAGAATTGAAAAGCAAGATCAATCTGGTCCAGAAACTTGTCGGATCATCGTGAGGAGCGGACGCTCAAACGCTTTGCGCAGAATCACTCACCCTGGTGTACCCTACAGCCGAGTACTACTTGCCCGTGTGACTCTCAAGTCCACATGCAAATATAATTGACGTACAGCTGAATTCCCCAATGCGGAACATCGCTGGCAGGCTAAAATCAACGCCACTGTCTTCCCTGCCCGTTCAGAGCAACATTGCGCCTACATTTCTTCGCCGCAAATCCGCAACAGCAAAGGAGTACACCCGCAACTGCAGCCAGCCCTTACAAAACGTCCACCTTCCGTGTGGATTCGGAACCAGGTGGATGTTCCGCCAGTTGAAGCAATGTCCACCTGGTTCCAAATCCAACCCTCTCCCCCCGGCTATCCACCTGGTTGTTCAGCCAGGTGGATGCAGGTGGACGTTTTGTAAGGGAGGAGATGTCCATCCACGCCGACCTCAACGACCTACCACCAATCCGTCTTAAATCCAGGACCATTTTGGACCACAGCAAACGCACTCTGTCGCACTCCGTCCATCGCAGAAGAGTAATCAAGAAATGCCCTGAACAATGCCAACGTTCCAAACAAAAATCTAATCCCGCTCAATGTGAAATCTTCCAACTTTGCAGAACCAGCAAGTATTAGTGAGTGGGACCAACTGTTAAACTCTTCATTAATGCAAAGGACTTTTTACTGTCAAACTTTTGGGAGAGGCACATACATGTAAAAGGCTCAAGCAATACCCTTGTAAGTAAAGCATTTGAAAATATTTAAGTGTTTAAGAAAAACCTAAATTAAAAGAAAAATCCTGTAGTTGATGGCCTCCAAACAAATGATGGTTCTCTGCGCAGCTACCGCCTAACATACCGTCTGGGTGTGTCATCTTCATCTTCATCGTGGGAGTTGCACATCAGTTTGTTCTCTGGGAAGAGATCACTGCTGGGGGTGGAGGCACAAGCTAAGATGATTCCCCGTAGAAAAAGGTCTGCAGAGAACATATGCTCCTGGAAAATTGACGTTGCTGAAAGGGACACGGGAGTGGACGAAGTAGGAGAAAAGAAAGTGACGTTTTGGACTTTCCCTCGGGGCTTACCGTTCACCATCTCGCACCTACCATTTCCGAATGAACCCCGTAGAACGAGTTCGAGTTGAGGTGAAGGCAGGTGCATGGAAAGACGAGATGTTGAAACTGGGAGATGCCGATGAATCGACATGGAAAGTATTCCCCCCGGAAAGTGGCAAGAGGATGTTCGGGTGCAAACCGTCGCTCTCAAACATCAGCAGCATTTCCCCGAACTCCGATTACTCTTGCTCTGAAAATGGTCGATAACGGGTATGATTATACGGTAAATATGGTCTAGGCTCTGTCGGAAAGATGAGCTCAAGGCACCTTGGAGGAAATAAAATATGCATGCTCGCTCAGAAAGGTGTTTCTTGTTGGGTATATTTGCGTTCCAGAGCGTGTCTCCAGAGCAGTCGTCGATCGTCGTTCCCTGCTTACTTGCGAGTCAGCATAGCAGAACATGATAAATTGCGTTTTCGGGACCCTGAGCGACCGACAAGAATCGCACCCCCCATCGCAACACGTAGATAAAAGGGTTGCTTAGCGATTTTCGCTTTCCATTTGGATTTCCAACGTCTCTGTCGACCCGGTAATCCTTGGAGGCATCAATCGCTGTCAGAAGCCAAGTATTTGTCGAGTCAGTGAAAATGCTGGGAAGGGTTCTTTCTTTCATCTACCCGTGTTACAAGAACGAAAAATCAGGTTCAAAAGGTAAGTTTCTTCTCATTTCTTCCAGATGTTGCAATGAGTTGCAATGTAGGGCCATCGTAGAATACTTGAATGAAAATGTGAAAACTCCATTTTCTATCGTATTTTCTTAAGTCGGTACGGAAACGAGTGATTAATTTCGCTCGATTAGTTGCATGTAGTCCTTTTGAAAGAGATTCCTCAGAATATCCTCTCTCTTGTTCGCCGAAGGGCATTGTGGCTGAGATTCAAGATTATTAGATCCACTTTAAAATGTTGCTCTTTCACCTGCGTCTTCTTTGGGGATGGGTGTGGTCACATTTTGCAAAAAAAATTCATTAACTCAAATACCCAAATGAAAACCCTGACGTTCCTTATAACCCTATTCGGACAGGGTTCTCTTTGGTTGTGGTTTGGGCGGGGTTCGAAAAGGGAAATACCACTGTGCCAATTCACCTCTACCTCTATACTTGAGATTTCAATGGGAAATTTTGCAAATGATGGTTGATATTAGAGCACTGTACAGAGGGATTGAGGGAAAAGCCATCAACGACCACGAAAAAATCTTGACTCATCTCAGTGCAGTTGACAAAGATAATGAAAATATGACTACGAAAATAGTTGCATGGATGGGTCTCTTGACCACCCGCTTCCGATGTGGACAATGTTTTATGAAAACTCCTCGAGTTCTGGATATGTTGAACGAATTCTCCAAATCGGAAATAATGAAAATATGACTACGAAAATAGTTGCATGGATGGGTCTCTTGACCACCCGCTTCCGATGTGGACAATGTTTTATAAAAACTCCTCGAGTTCTGGATATGTTGAACGAATTCTCCAAATCGGAATTCTCATCGAGTCGTTGTCTCTCCAAACACGTCGCACCGACCTGGCAACAAAAAAAGGACTTTTCTCTCGGATGTCGGAGTCCATTCTCCCATCTCTTTGCGGCTCTACCTGTGCTCTTCTTGGTCCCTGTCACGAGTGATTAATCACTCCTTTACACGTCGCACCGGCCTGGCAACAAAAAAAGGACTTTTCTCTCGGATGTCGGAGTCCATTCTCCCATCTCTTTGCGGCTCTACCTGTGCTCTTCTTGGTCCCTGTCACGAGTGATTAATCACTCCTTTTTATGAGTAATTCCGCTTCTCCATGTCCAAAACTGGAAAAATGCATTATTCATTTGAAACAGTTCCTTTCCTATGATGATGAGTATCTGCATAAAATACTTTCAGTCGATCATTAAACTGTTTCCCTTCTAAGAATGTCTTTTTTTTCAGTCTGTGAGTCCATCAATTTTACCTGGCTGAGTGAGCGAGAGCAATTTCATCCTCATGTGCTGCGGGAGTTTCAACCTCAGAGCTCTACCCTAGCTCAATTGGTCACCCCCTTCCAACGGTGCTGCTTGCCAGAAGTATCAAACGATCTGGTCGATGCAAATCTCCCGTGCGTGGCATCCGGATCCTTGAGTAAGTCGGATCTCCTCGTCTATCGGAGAGTTCAGAAGTGCATATTAATTAATACCAATATCCTTACTGGCTGTGATGCAATTAATTCTGTAATTATCCATTTATATTTTTACCAATTTGAGAGGAACTCTCAAATCAATACTAATTTAAATCCCGCAGTAAATAAGTAATTAATCTTGAAAATTGAAGACTAAAATGGAAATATGAAGAAAAATGATGCAGAAAATGAAAAAAATATTCAACATTAAAAGAACACATTCAGACATATTCCGAAGCCATTGGATGTCATCCCTTCGCGCCTCTCAGTTCGAACGGTTATTAGCAATTCTAGTTTTTGTTCTGCTATTACTAAATGATCTCATTGTGTAATAATATTTGCCAATTTTTTACGATTGAATTTGGCTTCGCACCTGTAGACAACGGAGAATCATCCAAAAGAATCCCCAAACGAGCTGAAGGTGATGGTCAACACTCCGGAGATCGTGAAGGTCACACTGGAGATCGTGGGGATCACACCGAACTAGTACTCCTAGTGTGGCTACTAGTACTCCTAGTGGAGCTTCTAGCACCTCTAGTATGGCCTCTAGCACCCCTAGTGTGGCCTCTAGCACCCCTAGTGTGGCCACTAGTACTCCTAGCGGGGTTTGATCGTGAGGATCACCCTGAAGGTCGTGGGGATCACACCGAAGATCGTGGGGATCACACCGGTGATCATGAGGATCGCCCCAAAGATCGTGAGGATCACCCTGAAGATCGTGGGGATCTATGGCCTCAAATAGAACTCTCTCGTCTATTACCGACGAGTAGACCTCTTGTTCCGGTACTCCTACTTAAAAAAGAACCTTTACTACAAGTACCCTTGCCTTTGCTACTGCAGTTCTTACCTCTTTTAGCGGATGAGTCCGGAAATGATTTTGGCAGCACCAAAGCGGAGGGGGAAGAGTTTGCAAATGATAGCGACAGC